TGGAGCTCGAGCGTGAGAACAGCCATCGACGGTGGTCGGCCGATAGACGGCCTGGCATGGAAGAGAGTGTGGCACACGGAGAATCTATCCCCTCTGGTTTTGTATTTCAAACGTGACTTTTGCCAATGTAGTACAAGTTATGAAAGTGTTTTTGCGATTAGTTGTGGCGATGCGAGCCGACACGTGTGATTGGCTAGTGTGGAGACCCTTTGTTCAACCGAGGGTTCAAAGAGAACAGCGGAAGTTTGGGCTTGAACTAGGGCAGACGCCTGAAGCTGCAATAAAGCGTTTCTTGACCGCACTACGGCTCTTCCTTCGCGCTGCCACCGTGCACTCGGGTGATCGAGGGGCGCGTGTTCCGAACCTCAAACGCCTTCCCTTCTAGCTATAGTGTAGAAGCTAGACAAGTAGAAGTAAATAACTGTAGGGCTTTTTGCTTCCTGCCCTCGTTGATTGTCAGTGCGATCGCTATCTCCTCCGCTTCTGCAATGGAGGCTTGTGCTATGGAGGCACAACTTGTAATGTTTCCTTTTCGGTCTGAGACCACGGCCATCATGTTCTTTGCGTTTGTCTGATATGGGGCAGCGTCTGTAAATCTCGCCGTATTCAAATAGTTCGCCTTTTTATCAATGTTAGCTGCTATTGATTTACGTCTTCCAGCATGTAGGATAGATCGATGTTCTTCAGTAGGGCACATACCTCGTACCACGCTCTGACTGAGCATAACAATTCTTTAGCTCTTCCATGGGCCTGTACGTGTTCACTGAGGCCAATCCTTTAAAGAACTTATTTGCCTCTTGGCGTTTGTAGCTGGCGGTTCATTTGAATGGTTACTTGCGCTTCAGCCAACTCATCAAATGTATTGTGGAGTCTAAGTGCTAATAACTTCGCAGTTGACATGCTTTGTGGTAGTCACAGAGCGGCTTGTTATGCCATCCTTAATATTTTGTCTGCTTTTTCTTTTTCCTCTTTATTCATGTTGTGGTAGGAGAGCGAGTACGTTAGTCTGCTGATGACTAAACTCTTTACCAAGCGAAGTGCAGGTTGCTCTTTCAGCACAGCAGGATTGTTCGTTATTCAGACTATTATACCAAAAATATGTAAAGCTGCTCGTATAATTGTGTTGAGTGTGAGGAGGCATAGCTGATTGGACTTAAGCTACATCCCTAGGATTTGAGCAGTCGTTTTCACTCGAATAATATTACCTTCTAATTTGACCTGAAGACGAAGGCTCGGGTCCATCCTTCGTTTTTGTTTTTTTTTTCTTTTGAAAAATTGAATGAGTTCCAATTTGTCTACTCAACACTAAAGTCCTCTTTCTTTAGTGTACTCTTCGATTGCTTTAGCTGCTATTTGGAGTCGCTTTTCTTTTTATACCAAGCTACCCTTGGTTGTCCATATACTGATGCCATCCGCTTAGAAGGAGTGTCGGATGTCTGGAATATTTTCGAGTTTTTTGGCTATACCAATATTAGCTATGAGGAAAGACGTAGGTGAGATCGCAGCACCTTGCGGTGTGCCTTTGTTTCGTGGGTGGAAGGCTTTGAATTCGTCTTCTCCTACTTTGATTGGAGCGGTTCTTTTAGTAGGTAAGTTTTGGATATAATGGTACGTCCTTTGACCACAGTTGGTCTCTGCTCACCCATCTAGTATATCCTTATAACTCACGTTGTCAAAAGCGCCTTTTATGTCATTGGGCGCGAGGATCTTTTCTCCTGCTTTTGGAACATTTGTTAGTACTTCCTCCTTTAAAAGCACAAGGATATTTTTTGTCGAAAGGCTTGAACGGAAGCCAAACATGGTGCTTCGCAAGAAGTTGTTAGCTCAAGATGTCGTTGAATCTGGTATTTATTATTCTCTTAAACAGCTCGCCCAAGCACGATATAAGAGAAATCGGCCTCACGTTTTATATTGCCAATTTTATCCCTGGTTTCGGTATCATGATTGTCACAGCATGGTGCCATTGCTGATATATTGTTCCAGTTGCCCAGTGTTTGTTGATGAAATTGAGTAGCGCTGTGATGGCTTCATCATTCAGGTTGCGAAGAATGGCATTGGTGATTTGATCCGCTCCAGGCGCTGTGATGCGTTTCATGCTGGTAATTGCTGCTCTCATCTCGGCATGCGTGAAAGGCGCGTCCAGTTCTGAGTTTGGGAGCCCAGTGTATTGAGCTTTGTAAGGAGCTGTGACGGCTCAAGCTCCGAAGCACTTGGTATAAATCTCTTGAAGCAGGTCATCTCGTGAGCCTGGATATGAGTGCAATAATTTTTTATAAGATTTTTGTCCTTCGCGTTTATTTTTCAGTGGGTCAATCATGGCTCTGAAGATATTCCATGTTTTAGCTGTTGCTAAGGTTTCAGTTAGCGAATCGCAAAATTGTTCCCAGTTGGCTGTTGCGAGTTGATTGGCACAGTCTTCGGCTTGCTGCGTTAGAGATTTAATTTTCGCTTTGAGTTTTCTATATCGTTTATGCCTTTTTCGTCATTTAGAGAGGTTCCTTTTTGCTTCCCACAGGTGTAGGAGGTGAGCATCTACTTCAGAGGTGTCGTCTGTTCTAGGGACAGTTTTCCTGTGCCTTTGCTTTTTATTTCGAATTACTTTGCACCATTTGTCCAAGTCGTATATTGCAGTGATGTGTACTTTTAGTGACTTTTTATACGCATGCCAGTGTGTTAGTTTAGCTGTGCTAATGTGTTTGCAGATTCGGCCCGTGTGAGTTGTGGTGCTTAGTATGTAATGATCGCTGCCCAGGTTCTCAAAGGTGTTATACCAGTCTACGCGTTGACAGTGTTCCACTATCGCCAAGTCCGGACTTGCCTCCATGGATATGCTGTTCCCTATTCTCGTTGGGACTGCAGGGTCCGGTAATGGTGTCGTTTCCAGTGCCTCTCTATATGATTTGAGATATTTTTGCATTCTGTGTCTTGGATCTTATATCCCCCAATTAGAAGCCTGACATTAAAGTTCTCAACTACGATTAGTGGATTCCTTTTCGCCAATATTGCTATTTCTTGAAACAGCGTGTCGAACGCCACTTTTTTAGTCTTGGAGGACTATGTATGTTAAGTACGAAGGCACTCTTTCTTTGGCTTGCTCTGTAAGTGATTTGTGTTATGAGATGCTGGATATCCGTCCCTTTTATGGGCTTATGACATATTGCTGTAATTGCGTTATTGAATAAAGTACCAACTTTCTATTCTGCATCCCCGGTACTATAAGACTTGTAACCCCATAAATTTGGATGTGTTGCAGTTTCCTGGACTTTTATAACAGCTGGTGGTCATTGTTTGTTTAAGAACCACCTGTGGTTCTTAAATGTGCATGGAAATCTGAGCACACCTGCCTACAACATTTCCGCCCCCATCGAAAATGCAGCCGCCACAGCAAGGATTCCATCCCGCAAACTGCGGGTTAGCAGCCGAGTACTTAGCCACTAGACCACCAGGGCGGGGCGCTAAGCGTGATGTCAAAAAGGCCGCAGGGGATGAGGGTTTATTGGACAGCGGCGAGGAACAAAAAAAGAACTCTGTGTAACCACAAAAATAGCAAAAAAGAGAGGATGCATTTCAAGATAACTTCATGGCAAGCACTTTTCTCAATCGTTTAAAAAGGATAGCGAGTAAAAAGGTTAACTTTTTGTCCCACAACAATAATCGTCATATATATTGCGTTCCATCCTTGCGCTATTGCCCCCCGCCCGGTACATTCCGGTCATGATCGGCATGCCCATTAACAGGGTTACATTGCATTCTCGATAGGAAAGGGTTCAGCGCCGAGTTTTCAAGAAAGGAAGCGCATGCAAGCCTCATGACGATTAATGTAGTGGGAAAAAAAGACACCGTTTTTACTAAATATTTTTTATAGCGTTAGATAAGGTCGAGTTGCCTTAAAACGCGTAGCGTTATAGCGCAATTTAGTTAAGAATGAGGAACTTTTACAAGCTGTGCGGATGCTAAAGACATGACGGAGCCTACTCTAATTGTATGTGCGAATGCTCACCCAGCTGTACGTTTAGGCATGCGCCTACATGACACCCTGCGTTTCAGGGATGGCATTAGAAATATCCACACGTCAACGAAAGAAATAAGAGAAAGGGTAAAGAATTTGCGGAATAAAGTTAGAGATAAGGGACCTAAATAGGTAGTGGGAAAATATGGTCATTCTACCGTAAAAAAGCAGTGACCTCAGCTAAAAGTTTACGCTTCTTTATCGTGAGATCACTTTATTCGTAGTATACAAGGCGCTACACCAACCTGAGAATGATTTTCCTCATTTCGTAAACTGTGGCGGCACACATGTCTTGTTATGAAGAAGGGGCTCATAGCATTCATTCGTCTAACCAACCATTGAATTAGACGACACCAGCTGGTAGAGGGTCTTTTCCGATCTGGACGCTCATGAGCAGGCTCGCCTAGAGCAACAGCGCGCTCACCGGAGAACAGTATTGCCGACGAATAGCGAAGCTCTAACGACATTGATCTTATTGTTTGAAAATTACGTCCGTTATCACATGATCGGATAGCTCAGGTGCTTTAATATAAGGCCTGAGAATCCTAGGCGCAAATTCAGCTTGGTTGGTTTGCCAGGCAGCTCGTCATCGCTTTATGCACAAGCCTGGTGGTATATTGTACTTTCAGAGAAGTTCTGTTAAAAAGCAAGATTCAGTCAACCAAAAAACTCAGGCAGCGTTTCACACGGTTCTAGCTAAAGTAAACATGCACTTGGTTCCCAAACAACATGTCCTAATTGAGAACTTGCAACACATTCAATGCTACCTTCATGCTGCCCACAGTGAAAACGAAAACACATATGACTAGAAGATTGTAATTCTGTTTTTAGACGTTGATTAGAGATCACACGTTTATGTTCGTGAAAAAAAAAATGAAACGCTCTTACGACCTTCCCTTTATTGGGAAACATTACAAGGTGCACCATAAGTATTCTTTGTTTGTAGAAAGTGACATTAAGGTCACAGAAATGCGGCCCCTTTTTCCAGCAGCTAGCTGATTGATATGTTGCGCAGCGCTGGCTCCCACTTGTGCTGAACAGGCTTGAACTGCCACTTGTCCGGCTGCCCGAGGTGGCTGCCGGGCAGTCCACTGGTGCTCCATTGGAAGGGTGGCTGGTTTCTCCACGTCGGCCCACTCTCACCAACAAACTCTAATGACGGGAACAGCTCATTACTTGTAACCTGGGAGTAAAAATAAGATAATGAAAAATTATCATTACTCCGAAACAACTATTAGCCCCATCGTTGTATTGAGAGCTGCTAGATGCATTGAACTCTAGAAAATGTGCGTCACCTCCACAGCTCATGCCTAACTTGTCATTATTTCGCACAGCAGACCAGGGTTTCCAATCATTCAAACATCGTTGAGACCTTGTCTCCAGGTAGCTTTCCCCAGGAGCCTACACTGTCCATAATCTAGATTTATGCCATCGTTTTATGTAACAATTTGTTATTTCATTTTATAACTGCGTCAGTGCTTTTTTGATCTTTGGCAACTAACTAGTCACATATGACAGGTGAAAAAGAAGCCTTTCGAAAACATCGGGTACTTAACTAGCGCAAGCATTAGAAAATAGGACACATCTAAGTAGCTCGAGGCAAATGAACCTGAAGTTGTCAACTCAGAAAAAAAAGAAACGCTGCCAATACTTGACATATTGCACGTCTAAGATCCAACACACCTCGTAACAATAACTAGATGCCCCTCACCTTCTTCGGCGATTTCAAAAAGAAAGCGCAGAACGTGCGTCGAGCGCCCACGAAGTTCTGTAAGCTGTCTGAAACCATTGCGTATGGCTCCGGAAATTGGGACCACCTGGTGTTTTTTTTTAACGTGCACTGACATCGTGCAGTACGCGGGCATCTACCATTTCGCCTCAAACGAAGTGCGACCTCCGCGGGCGGGATCGAATCCACGACCTTCAGAGCAGCAGCCGAGCGCCTTGCGCACTGACCCTCCGCGGCGGATTAGCTACACACTGGCGGTGCGATGACTGTTGCAAAGAGCGCAGCCGGTGGCGTTCTAGCTCTATTTTCTCCGCTTCACCCACTTCCTTGCAATAATACTGCATGCTATATACAGCGATACTGTGTTTTTATTCGGTCCCTCGCTAGCTCTTTCTGTCTGTCGTTCTTTTTATCTTTCTTTTCTTTGTTTTCTCGTTCTCTTGTCTACAGCAAAGCGATCATATCGGTTCCAAAAATTAAATGCCTGTTGCGTTTTTTATTTATTTATTTATTTATTTATTTATTTATTTATTTATTAAATGCCTGTTGCGTTACCAAGCCACGGAATACTAGTGTTTACGACGCTCGTCTGGGTACTGTAAGGCCGCTGCTTCGAATCTCGCCTCGCCGTGAATATTGATTTCATATTATTCATTCTGCCTCCTCCTCACCTCTCCGAGGAGAGTTAACGCTTAACGCTCGCCTCTTTCACCTTGCCCGGCTCCATGTCGACGCAATCCTTTTACTTGGCTTTACTCTCTGCCACCCCGTCCTTCAACCTCCTTGTCCATCACCCCCAAGCGCTGCTCTCTCCAACCACTGTCCTTGCTGTCCCTTGCGCATGTTCTGGTCAGTAGTGGCGGTTGCCGAACTCATCCCGTGCGTGCCCGCCTAAGTGGCTTTAGCAAGTGGCACTCGGATCAGTCTGTTAAAACGTGCGACCGTCTATAATGTTGCCTTCTAAGCGAGATGTATATGAATGCGCAATAAGTAAACACCCATTGTTTGCTACCACATATACAATTGTACATTGTAATGTTGCGTTATCCTATTATCTCATGTTACGTTCAATTAGTATTCAAAAATAACGTAGCTTAGTAACAGAGGAAAAAGCAAAATTGAACTGAAAGGCCCAAGCCAGGAGCTCACTCATACTCGCTCACTAAATTTATATTGCACGTCTCAGTCGGAATGACTCACTGTAAGGTTAAGGTTCTTCAACCGTACTCACTCGGGCGCAGATTAACTAAAACGTTTCTTTCGGTTGGACTTACTCGCACTCAAACTCTCAAAATTATGACTCAATCAGACTGACCCAGACTGGCGGCTCAATACGAGTCTCGGTGAGTTCGAAAGAGTCGGCTCAAGAGTCTGGTAGAGCGGAATTAGGTTTTTCAACTAAGCTGTAAATGCTTTTTTTACATCAACATCTAACGTTAGCAGTGCTTTTATTGACGTATCTTGCTATCTCACCTTGAAATGCGAGTCAGAAGTGATTATTCAAAGGATATGAAGAACTTCTCGACACATTTTTTAAGAATTTTCCGTGGAAGAGATGGCCATGGGGAGGTGAAGGCACACCCACCCCCGTCTATGCAATTCACACATCTGATCGATAAATATTTAGATCTTGTATGGACGATACTGCTTTGTAATATGTGCGAGAAGACGTGAGCATAAACGTGAATTCATATGAGGCTGATAGCAGTACTGAGAAGAAGTAGATAAGACCATCGGTCGGCATTAAATAAAAGCTGAACTCTTCAGCCTCACTCAAGGATTATATCTTCTGCTTAGCACTCATTCGGAATCAGAGTGGCCCAAATTTTTCTGAACCACATTCACTCAGACTCAAGCTCACCAATACTCGCTCGGGCACACACTCAGGGCTCGATCTCCATCTGGGTTAGTCGGATTGAGCACACTCATGAGTGAGTCCCGCCGACCTATGCACACAGGGTACCTCATGCCCGCGCCTGAGACGACTGGAAGATGAAAGCCATACCACGTGCGTAAATTACTGTGCACTTTATATCGACTTCCAACGTTGACAAAAATTACCACTGACCGGCCTCCCTGACATGGTGCCGCTTGGACGTGAGACGGTTGCGGGACAGTGCTCCTAAAGGTGAACTACAAGCGGCTTGAACGACACGCAAGCCGTACTTGGAATTTCGCGGTGCAGTCGTCTATCCTTGTAGAACCCTTTGAACTTACCCGACCAACTGGCTACCTATGAAAGGCTGTTTACATTCAAGAGCTTAAAATGGTGGTTATCTCTGTACGTCTCTGTTCGTCGGCGTGCCACGGACAATATGCTAAGCGACTGAGAACCATCTGCGGATGCATTTCCCACGTTCTCCGTGGTGCCTAATATCGCTGTTTCCACAAGTCGTGGTCTGTTTGGCACCACATATCACTGCAACGGTCTACAGAGTTGATTTCCACGTGGGACTCAAATGTCTTCATTCTGTGCTGTGTCGTGCGTGGTGTGCAGTGTTTTCTTCCTCACCATGGGCGGAATTAGGTGTGCCTCTTCCCCTTTCATTGGTTGAAAGGAGGCGGCGTTTAACCTTCTCCTTATGGGGGTGGAGGTGAATATGGCAAAATTTATGGGACTGTGCTGGCCTCCATTGTTTTTTCCTGCAGGAAATCATGGAAAGGCCAGGGCATAAAATGCGAGTGCCGAGGCTCTTCTGACAAGCTAGCTGCGAGAAGCTCACAGAAGCTCGAGTGCTTCCATGGTGCTAGCACCATCATGTAGCAACAAGCTACCTGTGAATAATGCAAATAAAAGTTACTGTTAGCAGCTCCCGGCTCCTCTACTCGACATCTTCCCGAGACTCTGGCTGGCTGCGGTCCTCAGGGCAGACCCCCGAACACATCAAATGGATGGCAGCGGTGTGATGCGGCTGACAATCGGAACACATCAACTAGTTGGAAGTGACGGGATGACCCATGCTTGACTCGTTCCTCAACAATATGGTGAGTGCTTGACATTTTTATTTACTTTTGACATGTTTTAGCCTTAGAAGTTTTCTAAAAGTGTGTGTAATCTTCTGTGGGTATAGGATTCGTTGTACCGCTACCATACGTCACAGCTATTCACCAAATTCTAGCTTTCACGTTCAAAACAGGCAATATTTTTACCGTGCGTGTGGGCTTCACTTGTTCGCTAAATCACAGCGGGTAAGGAAGTCTTCAGTCGTGAAGACCATGGAGCTTGTAAAGAAGCAAGAGAGACCACACCTCTTACTTCTGTGTGAAGAGCTCAGAATTAGGGCAGGGAGAAATGAGAGAGAGTCGCAGCTGATTTCGGCTATTCAGGAGTGCGGGTCGGAGGAGGAAGAAATAGAGGAATGTTGGGAGAAAGTTGAAAAACAGAAAAAAGACGCCGAAAGAAAGCAAAGATGGGCTGAGGAAGACGGAATAAATGAGCAATGATGATTGGCTTTAGGAATTCATCAGCCCTCAAGTAACCCAGTTAACTGTTCAGTACTCTTCGGTATGAAAGTGAAATACAGTCCTGCCAAGTTTGCAGCTACAGTGAGCCGCTCAGAAGGAAACAAACATAAGTTGTGTAAGGCTAAGCCGGTCGTATGCCACCGTTGCAATGAGCCAGGCCACATAGCGATCACCTGCCGTAGGCCTAAGAGAATGCTCTTTTTGGTCGACAGCAGCGACAGTATTCAGGAGCAAATAAAACCCCACATTCAGGAGTCAAATCTGGAGAAATTGTTGCGTAGCGTACCGCGATAGTCAGCCGCAACGTATGATAGTGTAGATCGTTGCTCGTGTGAAAATGACGTTACCACAGGGGAACGCGTCTGTGCGCGGCAAATAGTTGAAAATTAAAGTGTGCGTTTGTCGTTAGCCCACGTTGAAAAAGAGAGACCACTCAGACTGCTCGCCACAGAAACTGTGATGTCCGAAAGCCTGTCTGAGCGTTATCCCTCTCAGAATGACGCAGATATGCTCTTGAAAGGTCTTTGTTTTGGTGACAAATTAGTGACACCTCTGACGCGTCCGATGGCCTGCGAGTCTGCTCATGAGATTCCGGAAGCAGACAGCGCTAATGAAGTACACTGTAAAAGTCCAGGTGATGAGGCGCTTAGCTTATCCCGAGAGGGAGAGGTGCTTAACACACCGTGAGGTGATGAAGCGCTTCGATTAGGGTGAGGTGATAACTGTCATCAAGGAGAGACATCTGATGGCGAGCCGTCTGGTTTAGCAAGTGTCGATTGCAGCATTCTTTTAAATGAGCAGACAGCTAAAAATAACAGCAAACATATACCAGTTGAGCCACCTGGAGTTTTGAGTAGGGTACTTCCCAGTATTATTGCCGAGTTGGTCATCATTTGCTGCCGCCCCGAAAGAAAAAGGCACCGGCGAAGACGTAGAGAGAACACGAAGGGTCAAAACTGTCTCGAGTAAAGGCCAGCAATGCCGAGAAA